AGATTGTTGCGTCCCCAAGCAGTGATAGCCTCCAGGTCTCTTGTCAGAGAAGAAGTCGTCGCTAGTCTTCTTTTTTCCAGCTCAGCGGCAGAGATCGGCTTGTCACTCTGAATTCCTGCATGTAGAGTGCTGTCATCAGCGAAGCTGTGGATTGGGTTGATCGTGCAGGAAAGGAGGTCGTTGATATGTAAGAGAAACAGTGTTGGAGCCAAGACCGATCCCTGGGGAACACCCGCGTTGACGTTGTGGGATGAAGAGGAGAATCCGCCAATTACGACGGATATCTTGCGGCCAGAGATAAAGTCAGCCACCCATCTGCAAAGCTTTTCTGGGAGGCCGTAGGATGGGAGTTTGCTCAAGAGGGCAGCGTGCCACAGCTGATCGAACGCTTTCGTGATGTCAAGAGCAACGACGTGAGCCTCACCATGAGACTGGATGAGTTTACTCCACAGTTGCGTGACGTAAGCTAGGAGGTCCCCTGTGGATCGTTGGTGCCGGAAACCGTACTGCCTGTCGCTAATCAAGCTGTGACGTTCGAGGTAGTCCAGAAGCTCGCGATTTATGCACCTCTCCATCACTTTACTTATAACAGAAAGCAGAGCTATAGGCCGGTAGTTGTAAGGGTCGGTTTTAGATCCTTTTTTTGGGATGGGCTGTACATGAGCAAATTTCCAGTTTTCTGGGAAGGTGCCGGATTCATAAGATATCTGGAAGAGACGCGAAAGAACTGGAGCAAGCTCAGCTGCACATCTCTTCAGTACAATGGCAGGAATCAAGTCCGGACCAGAAGCTTTGTTGATGTCGAGCGACAAGAGCACTCGTCTTACGGTCTTATGCCTGAATGTTACCTCCCGCATAGTGTGGGGAACCCTTTGAATTGACGGCACTTGGGCGTTGGTGGGGACGTCCATGGTGGAGTTGGCAGCAAAGATCTTGGCTAGCACTTCCGCCTTGGCCTTTGAGTCGAATACAATAGTTCCATCGTGACACGTAAGTGGTGGAAGGCTACTGTGTGAGAAGTTCTTTTCAATCTGCTTGGCCAGCGTCCAGAAAGACCGACTGCCATTGCGCTGCGACATTACCCTGTGCCTAACTTTTATATCATGCTGGGTTTTGGCATTGCGAACCGCTTCGTTATATTTGTTTCTGGACTCGACGTCGGCTTGTCTGTTCTCTACAGTGGGGTTTTGTAAGTAGGTTCTGTGGGCCTTGATCTTCTGCTACTAAGTCTTCGTGGAAATTTCATCAACATCGTACCAGTACTTTCCCAGTTATATACGGGACAATGATTAACGGACAGACAGACCGACGGATATCTCATTTTCCATGGTTTTGTGATTACAGTACTTACTCGCGGCGTAGGAAGTAAGAGCAGTTATTCCAGTTTTTTTTGCTGCTAAATCCCAATATGAGGCTTACTAACAAAACTTCATACCTGGAATTCCCAAAATCATGTATTCCGCCATCGCTGCTGGTTGATGGAGAAATATATTTTATATTATAGCCTCCCAGAATTATGAATTAGACATTTGCTTTCGTTTCTTTGCCTTATTTTATTTATCCCTTTTTAACTATTACTAGATGATTCATATTGCAGCACAAATACCTGTAGTAATTTTGTCCTGCTGTACGAAAGTATACCCAGTGCATTTAGCTTCTGAAATATCCTTCCCAAAGAAGGCATTGTACACCGATGTACAGCTTAAACAATTTAGTAGGCAAATCCACTCATAAGTACGCACTAGGTCTAAGTAATTTTGGTGACAAACATTGCCCTGTAAATATGGAGGTTTATACTCCATTCCTAGTCCATTTACGCCCAGACAAAACACAACATGCCCAAAAGTGAGATTGTACAGGTCCGTATTTTCCTCAATGGTCTTGGAATAATCCGACAAAATAAATGATTATTTTTATAGAAGGAAGTGCACATATTTTTCACAATTCTTTATTCTCTGAAAGTGCTTGAATCATCTTCCGAATGTCAAGATCCCACATCTTTGTTTCGATTGCCTCTTGAACGTGACGGATGCAATGTTTCCAATAGTTTGCGGTCACTCTGTTGACAGCTTCATAAAACAAATTTTTCACATCAAAAAATTTGAATGTTCTGTTGTTTGAAGTCACATAGTTTTCTATATTTGCCCAAATCGTTTCAATGGGATTTAATTCGCAGTGATAAGACGGTCTTATTTTGGTTTTTAGCCATTTCGTCAATAACGTTAAGATTATATTTATATTTGTGCTGCCTGACTAGATGGATAAAAGTTCTGTTTTGACCATATTTTCATTGAAACTAATGTCGTTTGATAGGAGCCATTGTTGAATTTCTGCCAATCTTGTGGACATTGTGGGAATTTTTTCTAGTTTTCTAGTGTGCTATGCAGCACAGTGACGTCATTGTCGTCAAGCTCTGGGAGCGTTTCTTTAAACCATCCTTCAAATGAACTTTCGACCATTTCTTCATGGCCAGTGGGCACAAAGCGATCTTCACTGCCAATATGACAGATAACAAATCGTTTTTCTTTTCCTGGAAATAATTATTTCACATACAGGGTTTGTCCGGAAAGTAATAGGACTCATTTTCTTCTTCTAGAGGGCGTACCTAGCTAACGAATGAGCGGCTGGTCAGTTGTCTCCGAGCACTTGGAGATTCAGGACAGGCATTCTCGCGCGACGTGTTTCTGCGAGTGGTGCAAGCCGAAAATGCAGCGTTCGTTAGGGCAGAGGTACGCGATTAAATTCTGTGTGAATCTCGGTAAATCTGCGACAGAGACGTTTGATATGATCAAGCAGGCTTACCCAGGTGTTGCTTTAGCAAGAAGTGGTGTGTTTCGGTGGCACCAGGTCTTTTTGGAGGGCCGGAAAGAGGTCGCTGATGAAGACTGTGCTGGAAGACCTTCGACTTCGACAAACACCGATAATGTGACTCGTGTGCAGAAAGTCTTGAACTCAGATCGTCGACTAAGTATTCGTTTAATTGCCCCCAGATGTTAAATTTACCAAAATCTGTGGTTCATGACATTGCGACACAGCATTTGAACATGCGCAAGGTGTGCGCGAAGATGGCCCCAAAAGTGCTCACTGACGACCAGAAATTGCGGCGAGTGGAAGTGTGCCAAGAAAATTTGAACATGTGTGAAAGTGACCCCCAATTTTTGAATAACGTAATCACAGGTCACTAGTCACGAGTCGTGGATCTTTGAGTATGATCCCGAGACAAAGAGGCAATCTTCCGAGTGGCACACGACGGCGTCTCCTCGCCCAAAAAAGGGAAGAATGAGCAAATCCAAAGTGAAAACGATGCTCATTGTCTTTTTTGACATCAAAGGCATCGTCAACCATGAATTTGTTCCTCCTGGACAAGCTGTCAGCGCCAAGTTTTACGTGGAAGTGCTCAAGGGACTCAAACGAAGGGTCAGTCGGGTCCGACAAGACATCGCATCCGACTGGAAGTTTCACCACGACAACACCCCGGCTCACACCGAATTTCTTGTGAACAGCTACCTGACCAAGGCCGGCAACGCTTCCGCAGCCGCCCTACAGTCCAGATGTGCCCCCCCCAGACTTTTTTTGTTTCCTCGCCTAAAAAGGCCGATGAAAGGCAAGCATTTTGAGACGACCAAGGGGATCCAAGCAGCACGCACCGCGGCTCTCAAGGCTATGCCGGAGAATGCCTTCAGTAACGCCTTCAATGCTTGGAAATCGCGCTGGCAGTGCTGCATCGACGCAGAAGGAGCCTATTTTGGAAGTTTTTAAAGAATTGTAACGATTGGCTCAATAATTTTTTTACATCGACTCAGTAATATTACTTTCCGGACAAACCCTGTAGTATTCAAGAAAACTAATAATACAACCAGAGTATCTAACAGGTGTTGGTTCCAAATTCGCCAGATATAAGTTCAGTGTAGCTAACTTTCCAGCGTGGGCTCGTAGATTCAGTCCACTTGATATCGTTTTTACAACACAAATGACGAATTGATTAGATTGACGTGCCTGACGGATTCTTTAGGCCAGTGGTTAGTGCATCTAAGACTTGTCATTCTGATTTAATTGTAGAGTCAGCCCATACTTTAGGTTTTGTATATTCTGCATTTATCCAAGTGATAAATCTTTCATTTCCTTAATGATTTCTAATAATTTCTTCTCCATAAAATAACCTCTTGGCTGTCCATCAAAAAACTATTTCTGCCCCGTATTCGATATCAAAATGAAGTTCTTTAAGTAAACTATACAATGTAGTCCTTCTGAAAGTAGGTAACTTTTCATCACTATTAACCTCCTGTACTACTTTTTCTATGGTGGGAAGTTCCTGCATATCAAAAAATCAATTTTTTGTTTTTTTATACTCTTTAACAATGTTGAAAATTGTCTTAGGACATAAGCCTGTTTGGTTCGCCACACGTCTTTCAATATCATGAATTTTCATTTCAGGATGCTCTAAAGTTCCGCTTCTATGAACGTTAAGGTCAATTTCTTTTGCATGAATATTCAAATGTCCCTTCTTGTCGCGTTTTCAGGAAGGAGACATCACCGAAGAGGAAGCATGGCTGAGGTAAGCATTAGGAGAAATATTCTCAGTTTTATCTGCTGTATCCGTAGACGACTTGCTAACGTATAAACACACACGCTATGTATGCACCGGATATGAACAGCAACTGCCGGCGTCGGCGTGCGGCGATACCCCGAGCCTGAGTTCTGTCCTGTCGAATCCTATACTTGTTCGTAGTTTTATGGCGCTGCATCTTTGTTGTGCCGGGACGTAAATGGACTACGAATATGGTATAGCTTCCTCTAACCCATAATAATTGGTTTTTCAACAGGCCCTCCTCCATCTTGTGTTCATAACCAGATCGAACTGCTGGTTCTACCGAATCGGTCAATTAGTTGCCTTCAACTTCTTCATAAATTACCGATACGTTTACCTCCAGAATAAATAAGCCTAAAGTTATAGAAAGTATGAGCAACATTTTAGTCTGTTACTTGATGACCAATTAACCCAGCTGCGAGAGAAAGACAGACTTCTTCAGTTTTCCACAATTTATTGATACCAGCACAAATAGCTACAGAATTCAATGCAAGTACGGATTTTCTGTCGTAGTATATGGAATAAAAATAGGTTAGACACTAGCATGCTTCAACTATTAACCGATAATAAACAGAGGGCAATAGGCGCCCTTTAGGCCCATTGAACGGGAGCAGAACAAGGAGAGTAGGAAAGCTGGATCATACATATTCTATAGACTTTTTGTACAAAGCTTTTTACGAAACTATTGGCATCCCTTCAATACGTATTTATCTAAATTGTTGAAGGCAGAAGCGGCCTCTTTGATGCATCCGCTGGAAGCCGCATATAAAGAGTGAATTGCGCTCATGACGGCTGCCTTCAAATCGTTGCCCTTCGACTTTAGTTGACCGGTAGCTGCTTGCACGCAGTATGCTGCGTCTTGTTTCTTCACCTTCGTGGTCCTGCATTTACGTGGCAAACCATCAAAGAAGCCCTGAAAAGAAAAATGTTGTAAGATATAGCCACTTACTATTATCACAGGTTAACGTATTCTAGCCGAAGATACTCAACCATATACTGTTTTCCGGCGTCCACAAGGGGAATCCGGAATATGCTAGCAACAATTATGAAACAGCAGCAGAGCGCAAAAATGAACTTAGAAGGCTACTTTGAAAAGAGTTACTGTTGAGTTCTGCTTCCCCTTTTCCTCTAATGCCTATTTTGATGGCCATCTTCAGGTTGAATACGTTAATCAAAACTATTTAAAAAGGAACAAAAAGAATTGCCGTTACGGATTCTTGATTAAAAATTTCATCAAGAATGAGCAAAGTATATTCAGAAAACTCAAATAGAACCAAAAATAGACCAGGAGTACGGAGGGTACATCGTAAGCGTCTAAATCTCAGTAGCAAATGCATGTGGTGTCACCGTGATACGAAGCTTCTAATTTACAACAATCTAAGCTCTAAAACGGCTAACTCTCAATTTTCAACCACTCCAAAAAATTCTGTTTCCGTCGTCAAATTTTTAAAATCTACAACGCTGTTTTGTTCTGGGTACTCTCAAAATCTGGCTCTCGCGGTCATTTCGGTCAAGGATTAGCGAACACACCTACAGAAATGAGTGACACATTCTTTTTCGCGATGACAAATCTTCCTACCAATTGGCGTAAAATGTTAAAAGGATTGAAGTGTCTCGAGGTAACTGGGATTTGAACATAGGCTTTGGCAAAAAGAGGCAGATTCAATATACCTACTAGACATGAAATATGAAATTCAAACAGAGTTTAGGACTTTCACTTCTATAAAGGTTAAAGCAAAAAAAAATGGAGAAAATCATTACTTTTCTTGTACCTGTGTTAAAATAATTTTCTGCTTAAACTTAGAAACAAGGGCGAGATTGATATTTGTTGTAGATCAGGGAATGCACTAAGCATATCAAAAAATTGTTTGCATGTTGTCAAATATAAATGTGTCCACTGTTCCGCATCGGACGGATTACACATCGCGCCGCAAATCTTGATAAGATTTCATTTTTCGAAAGCGAAATTATTGGCATCATATACAATGATTTTCATGAATGCCCCTATACTTATTAGAGTATCTTTAGTATTCTTGTTATGCTGCTTCGTTATGAACTTCCTTATTATAATTTTGTACAGTAGCAGGTCAAGCGTTCGTGATCCCTTATCCAGATAAGAAAGCTCCGTTAGCTACGGAGAATATACAGGGTGTCCGCAAAGTTGGGGTTTTCCTTTACACGACGTGTAGATTTTGAAAACATAAGCAATTTTTCTTAGTACCATATACACCAATGTCTTAAGGGAACCGAGATAAAGGGCTCTGCAACATCAAAAATATCTGAATACCGTCCTGTAGTCGCGACATCACCGACTAGTACAAGGTCACTGGCTCAATCCGACGACAGAACTGGGTCGGGGTCAGTGTGTCAGGTCAGTATGCAACCTTCAACCGATGGTTACGGTCACGCGTGTAGAGGTAATCGCGTAGACGAGAATCCCTCAACAAGCACTAGAGTCGTGGCTAGAGAAGTGCAAGTATCAAAAACTAAAGTGTGTCAAACGCTGCGTGAAGAGGGGCTGTATCCGTTTCACGTCCAACGTGTACAAGCCCTTCAACCTGACGATTTTCCAACAAGAGTGCGGTTTTGTGAGTGGTTATTGCATCAACATGACAATAATCCGGACTTTTTGAAGTGCATATTGGTGACAGACGAATCTACGTTCAGGTGAATAACTTTCGCAACACTCATGTTTGGTCAGTAGAAAATCCGCACGCTGTCCGTGGGGCACATTTTCAACAAACATTTTCGGTGAATGTTTGGGCTGGCATGGTGAACGGTATGCTCATTGCACCATTTATTCTCCCAAATCGATTGGACGGGATGCAATAGCTAGACTTTTTACGCAACATTTTGCCTTCCTTGTTAGAAGATGTGCCATTAAGTGTAAGACAATCAATGTGGTTTCTGCGTCTGCTCGGTAGCGCATCAGCTGATTTCATTTTCTGTTGGAGCGGTATGATTTCGGGCAGAGACGTACTTAGCCCTTATCGTCAACTGGAGAGTGAGTACTTTTTCCTTTATTTTTTTTAATTAGTCGCCCTCGTTTCATTACACATTACCTTTGTTATTTGAAGGGTAGTTGTTTCTGAAAAGGAAAACCCCAACTTTGCGTAGAGCTGGGTAATCTTAATTAAATCAATTTAATCAAGTTATGAAAACGCGTTAGTTGATACATACCAGAAATGTGAATTTTAGTTCACATATGAAAATAAGTCCAAGAAATAGGCAGTGTTGCAGTAATTGAATTGAATTGTCCTGATTTTTGTTATATTTATTGTAGTCTGGTTTTGTGTGTGTTATGTCGTTCCATGATTCTAAACCTATTCATTTTTGTCCGATTTGTACACAAATATGAACGACACTTGTCCATGAAAAAAATCAACAAGATTTTAAAATTTTGGGATTATCTTTACGTCAAAATCGAAAAACATAAGCAGCTTATCATGAATGCCAGTAGTCAGTACTGTCAAATCACCACAGTTCACTTTATTTATAATAAAAGCTCTTGCTTGGTCGACATTCGATATTTGCTGACGCTGTCAAAAATAACGTAACGGAAAGCTTAACGATTCGTCATTTTTGTTGCATAAAGAACTGTGTATTGTATGTCCTGCGGGAGTGTTATGTAAAAAATCTAAAAAATGACAACCCAGACTAGGTAGTTTTGAGTGTGCAAATAGTTCAGTTCACGTTTTCTCGCTATGGCCGCTGTGAGCGCCATCAAAACCGTTCGTCTATGGAAAAATGACTCAACGACACGACATGCATTGTTAGTTGCCGAAAACCAAATAGTAGTATTTATCTCTGAGAAGATGTAAAAGAAAGAAGGTTGGTTGATTAGCAAGATCGCATCTGGAGGATTATTTGTATTGGTCTGCATGTGTATAAAATCAGTGATATTTTCTAAGTTGTAAAATTATTACTGAATATGCTGCCAATGAAGTATACCTAGTGGCTGTGCCCGAGGGGTTATTTTTACGTTTCAAAAATATTCCTGTCTGTAGCGTATTTTTCCACCTGTTACTTGTAATATTCTTCACTTTTGAAATTCAGCAAATTTGCATCATCATCATCATCATCAGAGCCAAACATTGATAGCTGAAGCGTCATCACGTTTAGGCAACACGTACAGCTACACAACGAGTTGAAAACAAGTGTACCTACATCAGTTAGTGCTAAATTGACATCTTGTAGAAAAACTCACGTTATGTCACAAAAAACTTATGAAGTGACATTTCGTTGGTTTGTTTGACATTTCGTAGGTTTTTCGTGACATATATAGGTTTTTCTACAAGATGTTAACTTAGCACAAGCTATTGTCCAACTAGCAAAGTAGTGCTATAAGCTTTTTGTAAAAGAACCGTTCAGCCATGAGAGCTCTCTATTGTTGCTGCCTGAACACCAAAATGCTGGCTTAATGTTATGTGGAATGCAAATTTGCTTTGTGCAACATATTTGCTCTAAAATGACTTGTTTAAAATATTCTTTAGCATAGTTATACAACACCTTATAGGACAAGTTTTTAACTGTTGCATAAACGTTTATACAACTATTTTATACGGCATATTTGCACGTTACTCAAAATGGTTGTGTTGTGGCATCCATGGTAACGTTTATAAAACAAACCCGAGCCTTGTTGTTTTGCTGTGCATATTACTACTTTAGCCAACAAGTTGCTTCCAACGGAAGCACTTATACAACTGTTGATTAGTAACTGTTAAAGGCTGTACATATGCTAAATATGTTGGTATACAACTTCACCATAACCTAACTTTCTGCTGTCATATTTTTGTTAAAATGCCATAACCAATGATTTAAGACAAACAACGCATGCATATTGGTTCAAAAGAGCTGTTCAAACAGAAGATATAGATCTGGTACAAATTCTGGGTAAATCATTCGACTCTGTCGGTATTTCATTTCAGACATTTGTCAAATTGTTGTATAACACCTGCAGGCAACACCAAAATATTCTAATAAACTGGACGATGCCATGATTATACACAACCACCAGCCATATTGGGCAAACATTTATTCCTCTATTTAATATTAAATAATTATGTTTCAGTTCAAAATTACAGATATGAAGTGATAGACATTAGTGTAATTGTGTCTAAATATAGGATTTGTGGAAGATTTGACGCAGATAAGTTCAGTTTTCCATCCTAAAAATCTAGACATACTTTTGATCATTATCAAAATATGCATCAAATAAGAAGCCCGTAGAAATTGCCTAACTACTTTGCACGATAATCACAATAAAATTTGCTGCGCAAGTAATTCAATAGCCCTATATCACAGTGTAGAAGTTTATCATATACCTGTGTATGAAATTCACAATGGCCGATTTGTAAGTAAACAAGATGACTGTAATGTGTTAGTTATATATTCTTCACTTCGTCTATGCAATACATAAGACATACGTAGTTTGGTTGCGATAAAGTAGAATCACGTAACAGAATAGTTGTATAGTTGACAAAAACTGAATCTTTTATTGACGCAAATGTGCTATAGCGGCTGCGAGGGGCTTACACTTTTGTTGTATAACTGTTACCTGCAGCCCTTATACAACCTCTTAAATGACTGAAGTGTCCTATTAGGTGTGCGCATTCCGGTTGTATAGCTGTTCTAAGAGGGTTTTGTCAATGTTCTTACAGTATACAATGCTGTGTAAGGAATACTGTATAATCATTCTTGCAACTCTAATAGGAGTGATAATTGTTAGTTGGGTGTACACTTGTTGTGAAGTCGTTTTCTAGCTGTACGTGTTGCTTAAACGTCAGTATACAACAACCATATGGGGCAAACATGGAATGAACTATTTGCACACTAAAAACTACCTAGTCTGCCGATCACGTTAGCAAGCGGAGTTTGGGGATGATGAAATCCTTCTGGAATAAGATAGATTGTCAGACTCGAGTGTTTTTACACATTTCCTTATAACTCAATAGCCAATTATCAAAACGTATGTTATATCACCATTCTTCTCTTGGATGGAGCTATACGAATATATATTAAGATATAGAGCATTTCACTTAAAATATATGTTACAATCTGTCAATTTTCTTAAACATATTCAATTGCACATTCAGACAGACCATTTTATAGTAAAAGTATACTAGTATGTCGATTAACTGTTGAGGTACAATAATGCTCAACCTTGACAACCCGCCTGTTCGCCATGTTGAAAGATGGTAAACTCATACTATAATCTGTGCGCTATAGTGTTATGAAATAGTGGTAAGAAGCTTTAAGATGAGATATCATATGACTCATTGCAAAAATGGTCAAAAATGGCACCTGAAATTTTCAACTGTCGTTTCCACGTTTAGGTCTAATGTCCACGAATCATTTAATAAGCCAAATTTCAGCTTGATGACTTAGACATGAATGCCTCACCGATTGCATGGGTTCGTTTTGATTGTAAACCCAAATGCTACTATGTGAATAAGATTGCGAATAGCCTCGTTTGCAATCCTATCGCTGCGAGTGAAACGCACTCACTACTACTTATTAATCCGCTTTATGCGAACAGTCCAATGCGGACCTACGGTTACGTTCTTTTAACCTATTGGCTATTCACGTCCTTGTATTTTGTGTACGTGGCATGTGAACTGAATAGCTGATATGTTCTCTTACCTTAAAGGTATCGACGGATTGGAATAAAGCCTTCAACTTGTCCTGATTCAAACACTTAGGTGGTTGCTTCCAGTTTAGGGCGTTAATCTGTTGTAGAAGCTTTTGCGAACATTGCTTCAATCTCTGATCCGGTTTTTGATAAGAGATCTGAAAAAAAAATGCGTTATCAGTAACGTACACTATTACAAAACTAGATATATATTATGCGTACGTGGTGAACCAGATATTTAGACTACCCGACAGCAGTTGATTATGTACTGGGAAACAGATTTTTAGAATGAAAAAGGTCTACCGGGGTAGCCGAAACGTCGGTAAGAGTAATTTTTATATGTGTGATTTCTTTTGGCGGCCAGAAAATAGTAATTTTTAGGAATAGTTTGCTTCTTTTTTAATCTCGGTACATTAATTTTTCACTGAGATTTAACCAGATTGGTCCATCGAATTTGAACGTGACTGACGAGCAGTACTGTTTCTACAGTACATTTCTTGTGCTATGGGTTTTCAAAATTCTACATATTTTTCGAGAGATAAAGTAAAGAAAGATATTTCTATACTAAGTGACATATAAATCCGAACACCCAGTTTAAATGGTTTTATTTTAATAAAATTTTGTATAAGTACTTAATGAAGCATAATAAGTAAATGATAAAAATTTCAAAATGATTGCACTGCTTTAAAGCCCTTTGACCTTTAATAATGTGTGGATGCACCCTGAGGTGCTACGCATTCTCCAACGTGCCTAGGCATGCTTCTGATCAGGTGGTCAATGTCCTCCTGTGGTATCTCATTCCAGGCAACCACCAACTCCTCTCAAAGTGCTTCTAGAGTCTGAGGAGGACGTTGCAAATTGAGCAATCTCCTACCCATCATATCCCACACGTGCTCAATTGGGGATAAGTCGGGACATCTTGGTGGCCATGGTAACAATGTGACATTATTATGTTGAAAGAAGTCTATTGTGACTCTTGCAACATGTGGTCGGGCATTATCTTGTTGGAAAGTTGGATCTGCCAGGGTGTCAAGATAGGGTAAAAGATGGGGTTCTAGACCTTCGTGGATATAACGCTGCTGATGAAGATTAAAGGTGACCTGGAACCATAAGCTATAGCACCCCAAACCATAACTCCAACAGTGTGATGAACATGTCTTTCAACAAAAAACTGTGGATTCCTCCTTTCACCACGTCGCCTTCTAACCCTGGCACGATCATCGTGCATGCCTAAACAAAATCGAGACTCGTCACTAAAGACAATTCTGTTCCATTCCTGATCCCAGAGCGACCGTTGTCTGCACCACTCAAGGCGATTACGTCGGTGTTCTCGAGTTAAAGGGAGGACCCAGTGTGGCCGGTATGAAAACAAGCCAAAACTTGTCATTCGTCGGTAAACACTTCGCATGCCAATAGGTCTTCCGTGTTCTGCAAACCATTCATTTGCAATGGACCTGGTAGTGGAGAAACGAACTTAAGCTTAGAGCAAGAATTTCTCTATAAAGTTTATCAGGATATTGAACAGAACTTAAAGCAGTCAAATATTCTTGGAATCCTTGAACTCTGTTACCATCCTTTGTGGAAAGTAATTTAGTAAGTAATCACGGCACAAAAAATCTTTTTCGGGGGCTTTATGTTAGGTAAAGAAAATACAAAGGAACAAGTAATAGATAATCAATCTAGGTTAATAAGAATGCAAGGCCAATAATCTTAGGCGGCGATCTTCACGGTCTGTTGTTCTACGGCGGCGTCCAGTGCCCCTTGCTCTTTGCGTACGGCCTTCTCGAAGCCATGCCTGACAACACCTAACCACAGTGTCTACACTTCTTTGCACTCTAACTGCAATTGCCCGAAAAGAAAGTCCAGCTTCCCGAAGTCCCACTATACGGCCCCTATCAAACTCACTAAGTTGACGAAATCGTACAGGTCTCCGTACTCTAGGCATCGTAACCGATCGTAAAGGATGTCAAGAACCAAAATCCGCCAACGTTGATTCTTTACTGCGGCTGAAATATTCATTTTTAGAACGTTAGTGAATTAAAAAAAAAAGCAGTGTCCAACTGATAAGGCTGAAAATTTTTTCACTTGTTATTTACAGTAAGATAAATACGTTCACCAACTTTTATTAAAATAAAACCATTTAAACTGGGTGTTCGGATTTATATGTCACTTAGTATATATCCAAGCGGTAATATTTTTCGAAATCATGCTCCAGATGGGGAGGGTATTGATTTGCATTTCTATTGCAATCAACTGTTAGATGATGCCTTCTAATCTGGTCTCACTTGGAAATTAAACTTGACCTCAATAGTATCTTTAGTATGAAGAAAAGAAAATATTTCTGTTGCTTATTGTATGGCTTCCGAATTAAAATGTTCAAAAATTGTCATTTAAGACACTATATTTTGTGGAGCAATATGTAGGTAGCACTCCTTATTTGGGTTCTTGACTTCAAGGACCTGATATTTCAGCCTTGTTTTTAGTTGTAATGTTACTTTTTCGTCCGAAACGATCTGTATTCTGTATGGTATGAATGGGAATCAGCCAAGGTCACAGGATTAGACTCCATTGAATGTTGCCCCAAGCATTACTTAGGTCTAGATCATCACCCCCTCGAGCTATTGAAAAAGGTACAACTCAATGAAGCTTACTTTGACCATGGAAGGCCATCATTCCCCCAAAATGGAAAGCGAGTGTTTGACTGTCTGATCTTCCTGTTCATATCCCCTACGCAGCGGTGTGGCATTGGGCAAAAACAGTACAGATTGGTACCTAAACTAGGGATAATTACAGGAAAGTGCCTATGTCTATGAATTGACTTCCAGAGCCAAGATGTTGGGACATCTCCATTATTTCTTTGCCTCGTGTACTGTTCACATGTTTCGGGTATTGTGACCTCAACTACACTGTCTATACTCGGAGTTTTGATGCTGTTCAAAGGAAGGCTGACCGAGTGACAGATGGAATTTTTCTAATGTACAGTCTCGGGACCCTTTCGCATCGCTAGTCGATTGGCGATCTGATTCTCTTCGACCGCTATAACAGGCTTTGGTCCTTATAGTTCGCTTTCACGGTGCCGTCACGCGTTGAGCCTGCTAGACGGACGCAACAGGCTTATCCTAACTCTGTCAAATTCGATACATTCGGAACTGGTAGCTACGACCGCTTCTCCTGTGACAAGATTGTAGAACAATCTGCGTGAAGAGGCTCTTCTCAGGTCTGTTAAGCTTAACGGCGCTCTCACAGTCAAGCAGAGTTTCTGAGGGGTATCGGGGGGGTGATAGGGAAACGCTAGTAGGACGGCGTTGTGACAAGGCAAGCGCTCTAGGTTAGAAAAGGATAGTAATACGCAGAGGTGTGCTGTTCGCGTGCCTGGTTGAATTTGCATATTGCACAGAGTCGGATTTGATTTGGATATACGATCTAGCGTACGACTGTTTCCCTATTTTGGCGCATCGTATACTCAGCCCTTATTACTCTTATTACCGTTATTGTATTGTTGTATTATCGTTTTGTTATTGTTGTGTTGTTATTGTTGTGTTGTTATTGTTGAGTGTCTTTCTTAACAAGGTATCAAAAATGAACAATAAGAGAAATAAACGTGGCGTCTCGAAGAAGCCGCATTTAAATACGCACAGGAAAAAAAAACGTTTTCCAGATAGAAAGGTAGGTACCAAAACAATTATGAATTTTATCATTCATTTTGCCAATAAATTAGACTATACGTAGTTACTATTATAACTATATTTAATATGTTATTTTAGCTTAAAAATGACAGCAAGGTTTCGCATATGCATTCTCTAACAGAGACAGATGGCATGGATCTTCAAATTCAGGTGTTTATACCCTTTTTTTTTAGATTTGCACCAGAGGCTAATATCATTTCTGGCAATTCTGATTAAAAATGCACTAAGTTTACTTCATGACGTCGATAATAGTATTGTAGAGCAGTTTAACTCAATCATAGCTAAATTCATTGGGGGTAAACGGATTAATTATTGCAAGAAGAGATCCTACCAAGGAAGATGTGCTGCAGCCGTAGTGAGCCACAATACATAGCGACCTGTTTGTGTGATCCAAAAGCGGCTACTCCCTAGTTTCAGTCCAACCTCTTTGATTGCTAAAGTTGAAGAAAGGAGAGCGCACAAAAATCTGAAAAGGGAGCTGAAACCAAGGAAAATTAAAATCAGAGATACTGATACTAAAGAGAACGCATCCTATGGGGAATTATGTGAGAAGCCTGACATGAGCAATGAAGATATAGAGGCTGCCAAGGTAGAATTCTTGAAAAAACTTGCAAAAATCGACTCCAAAATTTCCCAGATCGAGCAAGCCACAAAATCTCAGGATTGCAATTTGTGGCGTCTTCATCGAAGAATGAGGTTGACTGCGTCTCGGTTTGGTGAGGTTTGTAGAAGAAGAGATACAACAAGTTGCAGAGCTCTAGTAAACGCCATAATATACCCAACCGAATTCTTTAGCAATGCATGTGACTATGGAAAAAATCATGAAAGCGTGGCAAAGGCAGAAATAGAGAAATCATATTCGCAATCAGAAGTACAATCTTGCGGGTTGTTTATTGATAGGACCCATCCATTTCTGGCAGCATCGCCAGATGGTTTGATAGGCAAAAAAGGTCTGCTAGAAATTAAATGTCCATGGTCGGCTAGAGACATGACACCTGAAGAGGGCATTCTGAACAAAAAAATTACGTTTTGGATAAACAATGAAATAAATAAAAAACATAAGTGGTATTACCAAATTCAAGGGCAGCTACACGTTGCACAAAGAGAGTACTGTGTGCTTGGTGTTTGGACCCCGTATGGTTTGAAAATAGACGTCATTCAAAAGGATGACGTTTTCTGGAAAAATGAAATGGAAGAGAAATTGAAATTCTTCTACATGAACTGCTTGCTCCCAGAACTGGTCGATCCCAGGAAAAGTAGAAATATGCCAATCCGCGATCCCGATGTGATCTTGAAGGCATAAGAGAACCGTTTGAACAAGAAAACGAGTTCTTGAGAATTGGCTATCTTTGCTGTACTCGGGTACCAAAATGGAAGAGATTAGCATATTACATTGTACGCCGTTACTAACCCCTTCGTGTCGGCAAATGCGGTGTGGAGATCTCGCTTTAGCAGCGATGTGCGAGATGTTATGCTAATCTCTTCCATTTTGGTACTAGTACTAGATGTTCACTATTTATTGTAAATTATGTATATATTGTTTATTTAAATAAAAGTCAATCGTCAGGCTCAATAGCACGTAGCATCGGCTAGCTTTATCTAGTCTGTTAGATGGCGAATATTGAAATGTCACATTGACACGTTAAGCGCCACAGTAGAATCTGAACATCCAGTCCACTGGGCCAAACTGTTATTATTGTCAAATTAGCTTGTTTTAAGTTTCGGTTTAATACTTTGACTTGACTTTTTTCTCAAATCCTATGATTTTTCCCCTTTTTTGATTTTTTTTTTCTGAGGTACTAGTTGTATGTCGCGTGGCCCACAGACCAGTCGGGTCGCGTGGCACATAAGTCGCGTCGCGTTTTTTGCAAGTCAAGACTTGCATCATGTCGTGCGTTGAGCACTGTTTCGTGTCATTTATTATTGAAGCATTGTTGGTATTGTACGTCATCTTGTCCAAATTGCTTTACTGTTTATAAATTATTGAAAACCAAATTTGTGATGTCGCATTACAAAGCGGAGCAAAAAAGGCTTGAACAATTGTGTAATGAAATACTATCGGATGAAGAGAGTGGCAGTACTGAGTTATGTGGGGATGTATACTTATCTGATGCGTATTCTCCAAGTGGTAGTGAATCAGATAGTAATTGTAGTAATTCCATATTTATCTGTATTACTGTTTATTTATACCGGTATTTTGTTTATTACTGCATAAGGTTTTGTCAATCTGTTTAGTTTATAAGAGTTCCTCCATATTTGTGTTCGTTAGAATATCGACATTTACCATAACTTACTGATTTGCTGTGAAATTACTTTGTTCATTTTTGAATGAGAATGTCTGATTATTTTATCAGATTTGCTTTTTGTTTTAGATTTGTAGAATATCCTCTTTTTGTAAAACCTCTATAAACAACGTGTTTTTTAATGTTTTCATTTCCAATTCAGTATAATTTGGTCCCTCAGGCCACGGACCCTTGGTTCCCGTAAGAAAATCACATCCGCATGGCACACGTCTTACGTTACGCGGCCAAATATAACTGCCAGCAGTGAGACATATCATGTGTGTCACGAGGCCCAAAGCGCCAAATGAGGTGCGACACACGCATTATATCTCATGACGCTTATCGTGTTAAGTTTATTTTACGATACTCCATAAGGTTGAAGCTAAACAGCAAGTGACATTTTATTTGTGTTAAATGCGGTCACTATAATTACTATTTTTAACTAAAAAGATTACCGCCTCCAATGACCCTGGAACCACCTGGAAACTTTTGGTCACAAAGTTCTGTATTTTACCACACATGTCAAGTCTTTTCATTTGATACTATGTAAATTGGGGGTTTTGTACAAAAATATGTAACTCGCAATTTCGAAACGGCGGCAATCTTGGAATCAAATTTTTAGTGAAGTACTGTATTCTACAAGGCGACGACTCTTATTTGAGATATAAGCAAGTATGTTATCCGCCATTTTGTAACGGCCGCCATCTTGATTTGAAACTGTTTTCGTATTACTGTTTTGTACAAGTGCTTCCATTTGATATCCATATTGGGGTGATTGAACAAAAATGATTTTTTGTGGTATCACCTCTGAAGCATGGCCTATTGTATAAAAAGAAATGATCAAAATCGATTAAAAATTTCCCCTCTTTCATTGAAGACTATTAAAAATATCACTTACTGGTCCGATGTTTATCTCGAACGACCGACGTTAAAACTGCTACTGTTTAACTTGGGACAACAAATTATCTGTATACGTCCTTTCTTAGTCCGTACACACCGCCGCGTTGCTTCGACTGGCAGCACGAGATAGTGGATAAAATTCGTGTAAAAGCCTATTTGCAGAGGTTTTCGCGCTTCAAAATTGACGCTTTATTTTTGAATATTTTTCAATGAAATTTTCACAGTGTACTAAAAACAAGACTCCACAGGGTGCTATAGAGCCACTTTTTCGTTTTTTCCTCTGGGTTATTTTTAAAAAAATCGAGAAGTCGAACAACAATTATCTGCACTTCCACCCACCATAACTCCTGAAAAAATTTTTTTTTTAGAAAAGTGGCTCTATAGCACCCTGGAAAATTGTCTTCTGAAAATACTGTATAAATTTTATTGAAATATATAGAAAAATGCAGCGTCAATTCCGAAGCAGCTAAACCCTTGTAAATGGCCTGAAACTCACTGCGTCGGAGCCGCAGATCAAAAATCGGATTAAGAAAGTGTCTCCAAGCTGCTTATGAAAGCAGCATTTTTTATTTGTAAACAATTCAAAATATGAGATTTGAATACGCATGATGTATAGTATCTTATGTTATGGTAGTTTTACTATTGATCGGCAAGGTCACGTCATATGATGAATATTATCGAAGAAAAAGTATTGTGAGTTCATGTTTTTTAATAACCAAGGATAACTTTCGTAGACTCCGGTATTTTTTGCTTGAGAAAAAGGTACGAAAGACAGGTGAGATCTTTCGTTCCAAAAAATATCTTTATTCATTATTTCACACCTAAAGAATTACAGTCTTATTATTGTAGCCTTATGATTATTTATATTCAAAAAAATTTAAACGAAAATTAAGACTGGGTTAATACTGTGCAACGAATGATGATACATAATTATATGGAAAACTAAAACAACAAAATTCAAATTATATAGATACTTTTTAGAATTAACAATCTATGATGTGTGAAAAAATGAGATATACCATTCCCCACCACTACAACACCCAACCTCCGATTTCCAACCCCTACTTACTTAATTCTGATAATCATCTGGAGCTTCTGAAACGTCAAAAAAACAAAGTTTGTGAAATTTTTGTTTTTCATTTTTGCCCTTTGCGTCGTCATCACTAGACCGGCTTTCAAAAACTGCAAAGCTTTTTTCTTCTTGGCATAGAAGTTATCCGGGTGAATATTTCATCAAAATGTACCGGTGTTTTCCAGTAATACGCATCAAGGATTACCGGGCAGACAGACCGACAAACCGACGGAAATGAGTGGCATGGTGTTTTGTGATGCACATGCCATATCGAACATCGATTATTTTCGAAATTACGATACTTCCTGACTTCCAAAACAACCACTTTGACGAATAATGGAAAAACATATGCTCATCTAGATCTTTTTGTATAAACAATTGAATAGATAGTGATAATATAATAATTTGAAGCATAATAATAATAAATAATGAAAGAATATTATACCTGTAGAACTGAGATGAAACATCCCAAAGCAAAAATCACCTTAGCGTTCATTTTGAGTCTGCACCTACAACTTTGGAAACCGACAAGCAAACTATGCGACTGGATAATGAACGCCGAAGATATATTTTTTGCAAATAAGCTTAACTGTCATTAAAAAGATAAAAAGCCCATACGATAAGCTAAATACGTAAAACTGACGGTTGGTTTAATTGCAATCGTCTCACAAATTAGGTGACTAAGCGGTATTTTGTGCATATCCCACGTCAGTGTATTTGATAACCGATCGAAAAGACAGGTTATAACTTGGATATCATTATGTAATGACCCAAAATAGGAAATAATTTTACTCCAAATTACCCATAAATAATTACAGTTTCAAACATTATGTAACTTTGTAAAGCGCAATAGGTAGTGTTTGTGAAACTCGAAAGTTCGCCAATTTTGTCTCAACAGACAAGGCAAAAATCGCACTACAATGAACTAATCTCAAAGTGAAAAAAAATGTGCGGACAAAGAAATCATTAAAAAAATGCTTAGGCAAATTGAAACTGGTTAAAAAGATTACCAAAATTATTATTCTTAAACTCAATAACTAAAAATCTATGGTAACAATAATTTTAGTTTTTTATGGTTTAAACTTAAAATATGGAATCATAGTTTTGAGACCATAATATTTTTGGTTTTATCCTCATTAAATGGCACTGAGACGATAATTATTCTTAATATCAAAAAATATTTATGTATCTTAGGCTTTTTAATGTTTTATTTGTTATACTCACTGTTTTTAAATTTTTTTGATTCAAATAAAAAGTAGAGTTTTGAAACCAGAATGTTATCGTTTTTTACTCATTATATTTATTTTGATTAACTGTGTTGATTTCATAATTTCATTATTAACATGCAGAGACGCAAGCGGTTTGTCAAATGACAGAAAAAAACTATTCTTCCAGGAAAATCGATTATTTTTCTTTTTAAAATCGATTTTTTATTAATCGATTTTTTCATATAAATACAAATTTTGTGCGAGTAGCTTGAAATAGTATAGATGAAAATAGCATGCTTCATATTTTTAATCACCTAAATTATAACTGATTAAGTATAAAAGTAATTAAATTATCTTAGAGGTCCACTCTGGATATACGTACATATATTTTTTTCTCAATTTTGAAATTATAATTTCTACATCCTGGATATGGGAGGAAGGCGGATTTTAGGACTCGTGATGATATGATGGTTTCTTCTTTTTCTTCTCAATGAACCCTAGAATATTGATATCCTTTTTTGAATTATTGGTCAAATATTGTATACAGATGGCAACACTGCCTGTGCCTATGATGCTTCAGTTGCATAATATTCGCAGTAACAAACTGTATAGGCAGACCTCCAACTTTCTATCCGCTCTCGGCTACCTCCCAAAAGATCCTACCAGCTGAGGAACGTCGACAGGCACATAAATAAAGCCTGTTGGGGTTTGGGAGTAAACAGTGCTCGTCTCATTCAAATATCGTACATTGACATTTGCATCTTGATTGGACGGAGACACAAACCAGCCTCTGGAGGATTGCCGGAAGCGGATATTGGTTTCGTTAGTGAAAGTGCCGATGTTTCGAACGTATTTCGGGGTAATAAGATTGTGGGCGGAGGGTGACCCCTTTGTGAACAAGGGACGGAAGCAGTGCAAAGCAGCCAGGCAATTTGGATTACATCTAGACAATATTGAAGATACACCTGTTGAGGTGTGACACAGGTGATTGAGTCAAAATGCACAACTCAAGACTAATCGTATAAAGCTGAAAATGGTACATTCTGTGCCTTATATAAGGCTGACATTACTGACGCTGAAAAAGAGCTTGAAAATCCACGGACATTTGTGCGGAATCAAGACGTCACAAGTCATTAATCTTTTTATCTGGAATAGCAGTCTATATTCAAATCAATGATTTTAGAATAGCATATTAGAAAACGCTACAATACCTCTAGAGCATTATTAAAGCTAACCGACAACACTGTTAAATCTTGAGACCATCAACAAGGGACACCAATTATTTTTTTTATAATTCACCAAAGCAGTTGATACGGTAAACCACAAACTTCTGACAGCTAATTGCAAATATTATAGCTCATTGAAACTGATTAATAGTTTTTTCAAAAATAGGTCTCAAAGAGCCGGGTATTGACACAGATTCTTCGCCTGAATGTTGACGTCTTAAGAAGTACCACAAGGCTCAGTACTTATATCGCTTCTGTTTACATATCTGATTTGAACAAAATTGTAAAGTATTGCAATATTTAATTGTTTGCGGATGATTCACAACTATATTTTAGCTTTGATCACAGTAATATAAATACTGCTGAAATTCAGATGTCAGTTCATCCACCTAAGCCTAAAGTATTGATTTTGCCTCCTAAAGGACTTGAAAGTCACTTTAAACTAATTTTAGCAGAAGATTAAGTATTAGATTTAGATTGAGGAATCAGAAAAACGATCAGGGCTTTTGTTGACGAGAACCTTAAGTTCATTAAATTACACTACTAAAAGATGTCCTACGTCAGTTATAAATCAAAAGGCAGGTACTTGATTTTTTTAACACACGAAATTATGTTCTCCATTTTTAAAAGACAAGATAATATTTCGTGGGTGTACCCCCCTTAAGAAATATTCATTTTGTGAATACGTCAACGATGGCTCTTCACAGGACATCATTCTTCTATAAGTGCTTTACTTATAATGCCATAATACAAATAGTATACAATGCTTTACCACCGTCTACGCAGTTTCTGAACTCAAACGATTTCAAAAAACAAGCTAAATCATTTTTGAAAGTCAATTTTACAGACAATCATTAACTCATTTATCTAAAGTATGAACATGAATTACGCATGTCCTTTTAAAACATAATGAATGATATCATTTAGTTTAAGTAATATGTACACAATATTGCAATCTATTACTGAATTCACATATGTATTTTTGATGTTAATTTGTTTTCGCTAAGGGCAGAATAGCTATAAGCTATTGGCCATAAACAGATACCATTTATTACAAAACATCGTAATCATTGTCAATTTTTTTTATTAATTTGAACAGCTTGGTGTTTAAGAATACAAAAATTGACTTAGCATCACAAATGAAATGATCAAGTAATTACTAATAAAATTATACTCTTTTCTTTCTGAGGTAATCTGGAAAGAGAAGTAATAAGGAACAATTTTCTTTTTGGCAATAGACATCACATGAAAAAGTATCAGGAGCTTATATGGAATGGAGGTCGAACATAATTACCGAAAAAAAGAACTGTAAATAAGTTCGCCTCATTATAAAAGGTAATTAATCATAATCTACAGACACTGCTCATTTATTAATAAACATAAAATGAGTTTACCTGATAAAAATTATAGACGGAAAATGAAAATGAAATGCATATATTGCCAGGAATAAGGCGCCAGGGTGACACGGGAGGTGGATTAGCTTCAGCACAATCAGCATGACATCAGTAAGAGTTTTATGGTTTTCAAGATATTGCCAGTTTTGAGTTTTTTCAAAAAATCACTACTTTTTGCTCCTTTTTGCCTGTTACGGTTATAAAGAGTCTAACTTATGATTTTTTCCTGGGCTACTAATTTTTGTGAGAAAAAATGTACCAGACTGGATCAGCAAATGACCTTGAAAACTAGATATTTAATGCTCTTTCAAAAATAGTACAACATTTGTAGGTTCTTTTTACTAAAAACTGAATAATTCCAAGTTTCGTCATTGAAGTCGTACTACAAATAAAAAATAATAGATGCTGCTGTCTTTTCTGTCCAAATTACAACTTTGTAGTTGCTGTATTTGCTAAAGCAGCTTATCCACCATCCTCTTTTATTCATTGTTGTATGCATGCATGAAAATAATGAACAGAACATTAGGTTGTATTTTTTTATTTCCATTGATTTTTACAACATTCAAATCAGATAAAAAATTAGAAAGCATTATTAACATCTTAAATTAACTGAACGAAAATTAAGTTAACATCTTGTAATGTAAATATTGCCTGAAATAAATAATTATTATTATCAATATTATTTTCACAACAGATTTTCAAAATGTCTTATAAATTGTCCTCTTAATCGTCTCAAACTTGAATCGTGCTGTTTGACGGATTCGATGACGCAGTTGATTGGCTGATCGAACTGGTTTTCTATAGACATTATCTTTCAAACATATCCAGTTAAAAAATCTAGAATGTTCAGGTCTGGAGAGCGTGGGGTCACAAAATTGGTCCTAGCCGGTCAATCCATCTTCTAGGGAGTATCTTGGCCCCTTAGTGCACAAGCATAGTGCGCTGGGTAGGTACCCATCATTCTGTAATGACATCCTTATTGTCTCAAGAGGCACATCTTCCAAAAGAATGGGTAGATGATATTGCCAAAAACCTAAGTAAATTTCCGCAATTAGGTGTCGCAGGAAGTTTGAATGGGCCAATCAGTCTGGTACATTTTTTCACAGTAATTAGTCAAACTTCAGTAAAAGTTTCCGCATTGAAACAAAATGTAATAATTTTTTTAGCATAGGATGCTGGTTTTCAAAGAAATTAATACTCGGTTGTCTCAACCAATTATCAATGGTAGCCCAGGACAAAAATCATAAGTTAGAAGTTCTTTATAGCCATAACAAGCAAAATAGAAGCAAAAAGTAGGTATTTTTTGAAAAAACTTAAGTGGCAATATCTGGAAAGTTAGAAAACTTTTACTAAGATCATGTTGATTTTATCCGATTGACCGGAAGCCAATCTACCTCCTGTGTCACTCTGACGTGTTATTTCTGCGACACCCTGTATATGCTTTATGCTTATTTGAAAGGAAGTACCCTTCTGAGCAAACATGGATGAAAAAAAGCTAAGAACTTGCTCTCATAATTTCTTATCTATATCGTCTAACTTATATTTTTCTGGATCTTGAAATGGTCCCTATGATTCTAAAATTACACTTGCAGTTAGGACTTGTAGTAAGTTTCATGAATACTAAGAAGTTCTCGACACTGTCCGAACATGATGTGCCTGAACATCAATCTAAATTCACAGTTATTCATGAGAATATAATTAGTTACTGCCCGGATATTGCTGTCAGACCTTTTTCAAAGAGCAAGTATAAGGCAAGCCCAGGTGAGTCACGTAGACCCGTCTTTTATGAAACCCATATCTAGGTCATTGGATTAAATTAACTG